TATGAAAAAAGCTGACCTTATTTCCACTCACAGTGTGGGACTCCAGCACCCAGAAATCCTTCTATGGTTCTCCTGGTGGGAGCCCCCAAAGATGACGCTGCAGCAAGGCTATTGCCATTTTGCAGACATTCATCTGCCACGGGATGGAGATTAAGGGCATTACTCACACGGCAATGCTCTCTCAGAAACTTATTAAGATCTTCACAAATCGGGAGTGCAATGCACTATGTCACAGCTGCCGTAGCCTCCAGATGCCATGACATTACTGCCTGTCTCAGAAATGCATAAACGTGGACATGATGGAAGATATATATCACACGCCTTTGCTCTCTGTCTCCATAAGAGTATGAATAAAAATCTACCGTCGCTTTTGCCTTAACTGACTCGGTGGGTATCTTGCCTTTAGTTATATTGCTTTCTTCTCCATGACTTGTTTTTTTGATAAATGATGTCACTTTAAGTGTAAAGACCCTTTTCCCCTTTACAGAGGACTAAATGGCTCTTTTTAAAGTGAATGTTAAAACTCCCATTGACTATGAAATAAATGGTTTATATTACATAATAACCTATTTGCTACAGCTTCTCAAGCTTATATCTTTTGGCATGCAACTCCTCCATTATTGTAGCCACTGCACAAGTAGTTTCTTTTTTCTTTTCTCCCTCAAGTAAGACATACTCAGTTTTGCCCTATGGAGGATGAAAGTCTTTTCTGAAAGTAATGCCGCTGTTATTCACAGCTAACAATACAGAGCTAATTTGGAATCTTGTTCCATGATGAGCCCCTGATCTTTTCCAAGTGACTTCTAAGAGCTTTTCTTACAGGCGCTGACCTCATGTGTCTCATCTACACAGCAGAAAAAGATGCCATCTCATCCCAATTCTCAAACTTAAAGCAAAGCAAAAAAGTGGAAGGAGAAGATTTGATAATGTTCAATATTAAATTCTTCAGGGGGCAGATGCCAGACCTAACCTCCTCTCTGGAAATCACACCTATTTTTGCTTTGGTTTGCTGGAAAAGCAAAAATGTGGTTTTCATGTCTGGGGCAAAAAACCACCTATCTTACAAGCATATCCCAAAAACACAGGAACTGGAAACTATGGCAATTACAGGATTTTGAGTAAGTCATCTGACATAAAGAACCGTTTTTCTTTGTTTTCTGAGGCTGATGATCTTGCTGCAAATTAACGTACGAGGAAAACTGAGTATTCATAATCACTAAATATATGTTTTTGCAGCTACCTGCACTGTAAGATGCCCAATTTCTGTATCCTGAAAACGCTTTTTCAAAACCAAAAGTATTAATTCAATATGCATCTACAAACTTTCAAAAAGGTACAACTGCAACATACTGAGCAACCTTGTTATTTGGGTAATGTTGCCAGAGTTCAGGGCAAATTTGACTAGAGGGCTATCTTTTCAAATCAGCCTTTCAAAATCATTCATTATCCCAATGGCCACTTCCTCCAGTGACAGAAGGTTTTATCTGCAAATTACACGGCTTAACTTAAGGGTAGTGCTTGTATTTATATGCTAATACCTATACTTGTGTTCAGGCTAAAAGGTGCCAGGGGACACAGGTAGCTGGAACAAAGCAGCGCTCTGCCCTCACTTCAAATGATGGAGCCTGGCACCACACACCAGGGTGCTTCAAGACAAGGTAATAATGCTGTTATTGTTGCTTTAATAAAATAAAAGTAATAATTGAAATCACCTCTGAAAAAGCCCAGCCTTTCTCTTTCACCAATATTAAAGCTTGGCTGCCTAAGATCTTCTGTGAAGACATGTTTTATCAGTATTTTTAAAGGACTGTTTCACTGAGAGATGCTTTTTCTTCACCACAAGTATGCAGTCTGTCAACCAAGCAACGTTTCATCAAATGACCGAAATCATTTTGTCAAGCTGTTTCACTTTTTCTCATTTTTACTTTAAGCCTCTAAAAGCATCCTGTCATGTAGCTACAGTACTTCGGGTACCTATTTCATAAAAAAAAAAAAAAAAAAAATACTGCCTTCAACTATAAATATTTCAGAAAAGATCGTGATTTTTATTGTTGGATTCTGTTATTTAAAGGCATCTTTCTGTTGAAGAGTCATATTTCACAAAAAAAATAGATGTTGGTTTCTTTTATCAAACTATAAAGCAAGTAGGTATACTTAAAAGTAAATGTTTGTCATGCACAGAATCACAGAATCACAGAACCTTCAAGGTTGGAAGGGACCTCTAGACATCATCTAGTCCAACCTTCCTGCTCAAGCAGGCACACCTACTGCATGTGGCGCAGGGTGGCATCCAGGCGGGTTTTGAAGACCTCCAGAGTAGGAGACTCCACAACCCCCCTGGGCAGCCTGTTCCACTGCTCTGTCACCCTAACAGTAAAGAAGTTGCTCCTCACCTGGAGACGGAACTTCTTGTGCTCCAGCTTGTGGCCATTACCCCTCGTCCTATCTCTGGCCACCAGTGAGAACAGCTTGTCCCCTTCCTCCCTGCATTCTCCCTTCCTGAACTTATACACATTAATCATATCCCCTCTGAGCCGTCTCTTCTCCAGAGAAAACAGGCCCAGCTCGCTCAGCCTCTCTTCATACGAGAGATGTTCCATTCCCTTAATCATCCTGGTTGCCCTTCTCTGGACCCTCTCGAGAAGCTCCACGTCCCTCTTATACTGGGGTGCCCAGAACTGCACACAGTACTCCAGGTGCGGCCTCACCAGAGCTGAGGAGAGGGGCAGGATCCCCTCCCTTGACCTGCTGGCAACACTCCTCCTGATGCAGGCCAGGATCCCATTGGCCTTCTTGGCCACGAGGGCACACTGCTCACTCATGGTTAACTTAGTGTCAACCAGGACTCCCAGCTCCCTCTCCGTGGAGCTGCTCTCCAGCAGGTCAACCCCTAATCTGTACTGGTGCCGGGGGTTATTCCTCCCCAGGTGCAGGACCCTGCACTTGTCCTTATTGAACCTCATGAGGTTCCTCTCTGCCCAACTCTCCAGCCTGTCCAGGTCCCTCTGGATGGCAGCACAGCCCTCTGGAGTGTCGGCCACTCCACCCAGCTTGGTGTCATCCGCAAACTTGCTCAGGGTGCATTCCGTGCCCTCGTCCAGGTCATTGATAAACAAGTTGAACAGCACTGGGCCCAGTACTGACCCCTGGGGGACACCACTGGCCACAGGCCTCCAGCTGGACTCGGCCCCATTTATGACCACCCTCTGAGCTCTGCCATCCAGCCAGCCCTCGATCCACCGCACCGCACTGCACTCGTCTAGTCCACTCTCCCGGAGCTTCCGTATGAGGATATTATGGGAGACGGTGTCAAAAGCCTTGCTGAAGTCAAGGTAGACAACATCCACGGCTCTCCCCTMRTCCAGCCAGCCTGTCAYCCCATCATAGAAGGCTATGAGGTTCGTCAGACATGACTTCCCCTTGGTGAATCCATGCTGACTGCTCCTCAGCAGCTTCTTCTCCBCCATRTGCCYGGAGATTCTCTCTAGGATGAACYGCTCCATCACCTTTCCAGGGRCAGAGGTGAGGCTGACCGGCCTGTAATTGCCCGGCTCCTCCCTCTTGCCCTTTTTGAAGACTGGAGTAACATTGGCTGTCTTCCAGTCCTCGGGCACCTCCCCTGCTCTCCAGGACCTCTCAAAGATGATGGAGAGAGGCTGAGCAATAACCTCGGCCAATTCCCTCAGCACTCTTGGGTGCATCCCATCTGGGCCCATAGATTTTTGAGTGGCCAGTTTGCCTAAGTGATCCCTAACCCAATCCTTCTCAACCCGCGGAAGGTCTTCCTCTAGCCCATTTACATCTCTTCCATTTGAAGAGATGTAGCTTGCAGCTGTAAGATTAACTGTGCTGTAGTGCTTATATAGTTAAAATAGCACAATAAAACATTTTAGCATTGCAATGGTAAATGCAATTAAGATGCTGTGCACTGAACAGTCACACTGATTTAAAAAACTTCACAAGCTCAGTTTCTTTTTGTCTGTTCAAATAGCCCAGAGTTCTTAAGATAATAAATATCCTGTAAATAGTAGAAACGATGTTGAAATGCTGAAGAATAAAATGTGCAAGGATCCTGGCTTTGAGGTATCCGTCAAAACCAAAACCACAGCAGCTGGCACTTTTCGTTTGGCTAGTTCTGGGGGCAAAGGGCATCCTCATGCCTTGAGTCACTCAACAAAGTCAACGGATGAGATCTGCAGGACATGTAGTCCTCCTCTTATTCCAGCTCCTGCCCCACTTAGAATAAAACCAGAGAAATGTCAAATACGGCCTTCCTGCAAAAACACCTCCAAATGACGATATTGCATAAAAATATATTCAGAAAGAGGATGCCAGATGTCTGTTTTTCTGCAGGTTTGTAGACTTTATTTAAGTACTGGCAGGATCAAATTCAAGGAAGGACACCTAAAGCTACCCTTACTTTTCTTATAATATTATCAATTCTGCCTTAACTTGAGTAGCATTTGTACCACTGCTTATCTGGATTTCAAAAGAAACTCTAAATTCATATTCATATAGTAAAGGCAAACCTCTGAAAAATGTGTTACATAGTTAGACAATTTCAGCTGCCTTGATACGATTCTTATTTATTTGCTTTAATTTTATCTTTAATTCCAGGCAATGAATTATATCTTGTTTCCCAGTTGCTCCCCTCAAGACCCAACGTGACACTTGTCTGAACGCTATCTTTTTCTCAACTGGCCTGTTCAGGCTAACATGATAACAGTCAAAGTCTTCTACAAAAGCAACAACCAAGATCAAAAAGAGTAACTTCAAAGCAGCAGCGTTGTGGATTCCAGTGTTGCCTCTCCCACGGAACAGCTAACGAGCAACTCGGAGCTGGGGCTACAATAAATATTTCATGAAGCCTTGGGCAATATAATTAGCAAGCATGGAACATCTTAATCTATTTAGGCAAAAAGTACTTGAATTTTAGTTTAATCTGAGATGTAAGAATAGTTTTATTTAGAAATAAGAGGGATAATCGTGGAAAAACTCACAGTAAGCGCAGCCGTAGACCTCAATCCTCAGCCCGATTTGGCCCTCTCCATTCCAGTCCAAGGGAACTATGCGCACGTAGCGGGCGATAACGGGGTGCTGCAGATCATGCCGGACCACGCTATCAGAGTTCGTGTTTCCAGGAAATGCCTGTAGAAAGAACAACAAAATGGCTATATTACCTCCATCCCACTTGTAATAAAGCATTCCTGCTCTGAAGGAAACCGTTAGGTACTGAAGCTCTGTGAGCACCTAGTCATGCTCAAGTGTGTTTCAGATCCCTCTTTTCCAGGGACCAAATGAACAGTCAACTTAAGAAGAGTTTCACTGGGACCTCATGTTGTCTTTCTCCACAAAAGATACGTTGAATTCATGGAGGAGCTGCAGAGAGGTAAGAAAGCATTCCGCTCTGCATCGCTAACCTGTGATGCAGTCATTAAATTATTAATAAAAGTGTCCAGGCCAGAGCAGTTGCTCTGTGGAAGAAGAAAGGCACTGTCAAAAAAACAGATTATTTACTCCAGCCATTTCCCCAGACGCGTACCCACTGCAATAACCTGCCACCTGCAAGAGCCCAAAACACCCCCAATGTCTGCAATTTCCAATAACCCAGAAATCTTCCTTTATTTCTGAGGTATTACCCATTGGGAAGTGGGTATCTGATTTCTGTCAAACTGTAGTTGTCACCCACAGAAAAGCCTATTTGTGGTTAATATAACTTTGGAAGTAAGGAAAGGGCACAAAAATTCTCAAAGGAGTTTTGAAAATCAATGGCGTAAATACTTAGTGCAAATTTTGTGTTCTTTTGCTTGTTTTAGTTTTGTTTTTTTCCCCCACTTTGTGGCAAATTATTTCATAGCATCAATTCAAAGTAAACAAAATCTCCTGGTTAACATAATGTATATATAATTTTTTCTCGAGTCAGCTTGTGGACAATCCATTCATTCACTAGATAGATATTTAGATATTGAAAAAAAAACTATTATATGCCCAGATATTAATTATTCCACAAGAATGTCCTTGATGTGTCCCTGCCTTGCTCAATGCCCAGTACATCTGGTTGGTGATCTTTCTTGCTTTCTCCTTTCTCCCTAATTTTTCTGTAGTGCAGTTATTCACCTGCTATATTATGCCATTCCTCACATCCTTGTACAGCTCTTTAAAATGCATTAATTAATGTTTACAAAACACTTTAATGTTAGATGGTGTTTATGAAGAAATTAATATTTTTGCCTTCCGAGCTGAGATGACCAGAATACAAATAAAACAGAACAATGAGAACAAATCCTATTGAACCACTGTCTGCACTCTAAAGCCTCTTCTAGAAACTCCGAAAGAACAATTTGTGCTTTGGCACACCTTAAATTTTGTAAAATAACGTAGAAGTCTAGGGCTAACCCAGAAAATGTCTGGTATTTTGAGGGTTTCTGTTGATCTATGATCCAGTAACATTTGCTAGATGAGCTGCACCGACACAGGTAGCAGAGAACAGGGCAGCCTGGGGGTGTCATCAGTTTCTCAGATAATTAAAATGCATTTTATTTAGTTTCCAGCAGAACAATATCCTTTTAAATGCAGCCCTCATTTAGATAAATGCGGTACAGTAATACACGCTCTGTGGATAATGCAAACGTCAGAGCAAAATCCATCATTGCGGGGCTGAAAAATCAATTTACAGGAGCTTGTGAATTATGTACTATTGCTGTTAAATCTCCCTTTCTGACTAAGATTTGTACATGGGCTCAGAAAGGCAGGTTTTCATTAAAAATTGAGCTTACGCAATTTGCAAAGCCACACGTTTGCCAAGGTTAACAAACAATTTAATAAGATTTAGAAGTATAATTTAGACCCACATTATAGCAGAGATTTTTTTTAACAAGGGAATGACTCCCTGACTGTAAAACACAGAAACGTGCAATAACAGCCCTCCTCAAGGCAACTGTTTTTCAGGAAAGGGTGGAAACACCTCTATAAACCAAACAAGTTATGTGGGTTATTAATCTCATAATCTCACTGGAATCGTGTTGCCAGAAATGTGCTCTTCTTGGGTAATGCAGTTTTTCTTCAGCCCAAACAGGGGGACGAATGTCCAGGACGGGTCCCTCGGTGGCGAGATAAGCAGCAGCGTCTCCTCGCTCTGACTCCCCAACCTTCTGTCCTACAAGCCATTTCTCTTCATGTATCAGATGGAAACTTCTTCACACTGCTTCATGTTTCAGCTCGCACTGCAGTAAAGGGACTGGGAATGTCGTGAGTCGCAAGCGCTTTTCCCACAGCCGGTGCTTTGTGGATGGCAAAGCAGGAAGAGGGGAGAAAGGCAAAAAGAATGCCTCTAGTTCCCACGTTTCTGCCACCCTGCGGTTTTGACTGGGGCTTTTTTGACCTGGTTTTGCATGGAGTTTTCAGAAGCTCTTGCTGAGAAGTTTCATCCTGCTTCCTTGGCAGTAAAATTTGATCACTTCCAAGTACTTTTCCCCAAATTATTAGGATTAAAAAATTACAAAGACAGAAAATAGCTTTTAATAAGCCATCTATTTAAAAAAAAAAAAAAAATCAGACAAGCCTTTCCAAGAAGCAGAACAAAATGCCATCGAGTTTTTGCAATTCACTTGGACCGTACCTGTATGCTTCCACCATACTACCCTACAAACAGGTATAGTAATTCAATAAAATTTCTTGGCATGAACATGAAAATGTAAGGGCTAAAAGTAGATGCTAGTGAAGTATGGAAGCAAAGTTAGGCAAAGTTAAGGCTGAAGCTGGTCTTTATTTGCTATACTTACAACACCATTATTCTAATGAATAATTATAAATGCAAAACATCTTATGTCTTCGTAGGTAGCATGCTCAACTCAACAATATTACTTATATCTCACAAAAAAAAGTGTTTAGCTTTCTGTAAAACACTGAATTTGCATTACTGTTGAGTACCCTACTTTTCATACAACAAGCCCATTAGCAAACTTGATTTTGAGAAAATGTTTTTACTATAAAGGACTAAAAAGAAATTCTCAGCATTGCAAATTATCTCCGAAAGACAGTGGCTCAAGCCTGAACGAGAGGCAGTACTGCAAGTGAACAAAAACAGAAGTTTTTGTACTTTATCCACCAAGGTAAAAATAGAAGAACATGTAGACAGATGTGAACCAAAGGCACAAAAAGATGCTTGCATTTTTTTTCTTTTTATTTTTTACGGAAGCAGAAAGAAAACCCCACACATCACTTTAAAAACCCACCACATCATCAGCTGCCCCACACATGCTACAAAGCCTAATTTGCTTCAGGTGCAAATACATTTTTCACCTGACTTTTTTAAATCTCCATGCAAATTAGTGACTTATTCGGAGACATTCAATGTATGCACTTTCTATGGTGATGCAGAAGTTGGGTACTGTAGGGATGACATTTCTTTTCCATTAAAACAAAAAGAAGGACAATTTCTTTCAATGTAATTTTTTTTTTCATTAGTTTAATTAGATGCTGCTGTTGCATATCTTGAGAGGTATGCTTTGTCACTGACATTTTAAACACAGAAGGGAATAATTTATGGTTCTGATCTGATGAAAAAAAAACTAACCATCTACATGCATTTAGATACAGCAACAGTGAAAATGCTATAAAGACTCTATGTTGCAGCTCCAAAAATAACTCTTGCACTCAGGAACAGGTCTTAGACATAGAACTAGCACTACAAAGGTATAGTGTTATGAAATATATAAACGTCCACAGGCAGACACAACTGTTTTCTTTGCTAACCTCAAGGCAAACTAAGCTACTTAAACTGGTTAAACCCTAAAATTTTTATTTTATAGAAAACCCCCAGTATTCCAAAACATTTCCTCACATTTCCGATTTCCAAAAACAAATGCTGTCCCACAAAACCCACTGGTTAGAAGTTTGCCAAGTTGATTTCTTTGAGGATGGCTGTCAGGCTCCTGCCTGCAGGGAGGAACAGTCCCTGGGCCCCTACAGCCGGTGACTGAAACCCGCACTGCGCTTCAGTAGAACAAATATGTTTCAGAAAAACATCTGTGTTTCACCACAATAGAGGAGAGGAGAGGAGAGGAGAGGAGAGGAGAGGAGAGGA